ATTGATTGTTTGATTGAATTGATTGTGTGAATGAAGGATATTGAATTGATTATTTGATTGAATTAATTGTGTGAATGAAGGAAGTTTCGAGGAAGAAGATGCTGGAGGAAGAAGATGATGCAAAATTGTAATTTGGTGGGTCCCACTTTTGTTTTTGCGTTGGGTATGACCATGTCATCATTTATCCACGTGTACAACTGACGTGACTTAAATTTTTGATATATCTGTGAGTTAACGGATGATTTTTAACGGAAGGACCAAATTAGGGTAAAAATGGTAAACAGTAGGGACCAAATCAAGGATTTTTTTAGTTTAGGGACCAAATCGGGGGTCCGTACAATAGTTCAGGGACCAAAAAGGGGTTTTAACCTAAAATTAAACATTGATTTAATTTAATTTAATTATTTAAATTTAGAAATTAATTAGGTTAAATCTAATTTTTATTGAATTGAATTTGAAATACATTATGATGTATTGAGTTAAATTAAATTTAAAATAAAATTAATTTATATATATTTAATTTTTTATGAGAATGAAAATCTCACGGGGTAAGAAAATTCCTACGCATAAGTTCACAAAGAGAAAATATCTCCCTTCTCCACTCCACAAAACGAATATTTCTCCTCATCCCACTCCTGCAATTGAGGCCTCTGCAAGTCCACTAGGATAGAGGGAAATTACCACCCTTGCATGTGGGATCCATATCCATCCATATCCATCCAAAATTTCATGTGCACGCAACAGTACAAATTTTTAATAATAATAATAATAATAATTTAAATTATATATAAAAATAAAAAAATATTTTTGATTATTTTTATGTTTTAAAGTATTAATGCCATTTTAAAATGTTTTATTTTGTTTCTGTATCTCTTTAAAAATGATTTTTTTGAAAATATCTTTTCATCAACTTTTCATTTATTCATGAATCATGAGTATATAAAAATATATATCTAATTGAAAAGATTTGGTTAGAAGTAAGGTTATATTTTACTAATTATTTAGCAATTGCAATTAGATATCATGATATTTTATGTAAGGATGTTTTAATTTTTTTTATTTGATTAAGGACTGTTTTAAAATTACCACCATTAGTTTTAGCTAACTTGTGCCACGCGTTAATGTACTTTTAATCTTTAATTTATATAAACAATATATAATTAATATTAATTTTGATACTAATTCCACCCAAATAATTTTTAATAATTAATTAATAAATTAAAATTTAACTTTTATTTTTTCAATTTAAATTAAAAACCTAAGACAAATTCTATTTACATATACAATGTATTTGGTTCAAACTTCAAACGACTATAACTATAAAATGATAATAATAGGAGAAATAATAAAACTTCAAAGTTCAAACGACTATAAAAAAAAAAATTCAAACCATTAATTCGCTTATCCGGCCCAGTACTTCAAAGTCGAGGGCCATTAGTGGGCCAAAAATGTTATAGTTTAGTGGATTCGGCCTGCATAATGGAGAAAGATAGGGCCTATATTTTAGCATCTGATATTTTGGCTAAAACCAACATTTAACCCCTCACCTTATAAAATTGATAAGTTTTAACCCCTAACCTTATAATATGACACTTTTAGCCCTTTACCTTACAAAGTTGGTAGATTTTAACTCCTCACCTTACTAAATTGGTAGATTTTAGCTCCTCACCTTATTATGACACTTTTAACCTTTTATCTGTATAAATTAAAGAAAATAACCCTTATTTAACATCAAATTTTAATGTTCTATTAGTTCTGTTAGCTAACTGTCAGTTCTATTAGTTGACTGTTCGTTTTATTAATTGACTGTTAATTTTGTTAATTGACTGTTAGCATCTATTAGCATTCCATTAATGAAACTAATAAATAAAATTAAATTTAAATTTCATATTTTTTATAACGAAATACTAACAGATGTTAACAGTTAACTAACAGATGTTAACAGTTAACTAACAGAATTAACAGAACGTTATAACTTCATGTTAGATGAGGGTTATTTTCTTTAATTCGTATCAATGAAGGATTAAAAATATTATAATATAAGGTAAATGGTTAAAATGTACCAATTTTGTAAGGTGAGGGATTAAAATTTACCAATTTTATAAGATAAAATGTTAAAACTGTTATATTATAAGGTGAGTGACTAAAATCTATCAATTTTGTAAAGTGAGGGGTTAAATGTTGGTTTTTACCTGATATTTTAAGGTGGATTTTAATTTTTTATATTTTATTTCCATTCCCAATCTTTTGCGAATTGTATTGTCCCGGTGCCAGAGCTTGTAAATAATTGCAAAAAAGTCCTTCCCGTAATTCCGTTGGCCTGAAATCTCAAAATTTCAAATTAATGGGGTTTTACATGCCGTTGAAAGCTAGAAATATCTTCTCTTCTACTACAGTGAGCTGTGCACCAAGGGATAAATTGGTTAAGAGCATGACACTTTAAAAATTTTATGTTTGAAACTTGATATAATTGGGAAGTAGTTTGGGTAAAAAGAACGTTTATTATTTATTGTATAATATATCATTATATTTATCAAAAAAAAGAGTTGATATTTTTCTTCTTTGCTTAAATAGAGGTATTATTATTATTATTATACAATAGCCAATAGTAATTTTAATTTAACTTTTTGACTAATAAAAAGTTTAGATAAAAATTTAATATAAAATATAAATGAAAATTAATTTTTTAATCAAGTAAAAACAAGTAATATTGAACAAAAACTAAGTGTAGGAAAAAAATTCAATTGACTATGTTAAAATTTCAATTTTCATTTAAAATTTTCAGAAAGTTAAATTAAAATTGCTATAGTTCAACAAAGAGAAGATATTCTAACTTACAATTGATGAAGCACAAAATTTAAATACTAAATATTGTTAAGATGTATTGCTTTATCTAAAAAAAGATCTGAAAATTATTAAAATTTTAAAGTATTATATTAATAGTTTAGGTGATTTACATGACTAAAATTTTTAATTATATATCTAATAATCAATTTTTAAAAATATTAATTCATATATGATATTTATTGAAATGTATCCTCAAGGAGGACCTCTACAAACAATTTTTTAACTATTAATGCTTTCAGACTTTTTGTTTTAGGTGCACCCCAAGTGGAGGGTATAATTTGGCAATGCTTCACATGAACATTTTTCACACAATATTTTATTTAAAAATATAAATTTATAAATTTTATTTAAACTTTATATATTTTATTAATTTTAATTAATATTTTATTTATTTTTGAGATAATAACAAATAAAAAAAACCTTACTACCATAGTCACTCAACACTAATAAACAAAGGCTAAGATTAGTGTTTGAATTCCCTCCCTCCAAAATCTAAATTATAACTTGTTTAAAATTTATAAAATATATTCCAAGTGTAATTTCTTTTTTATTTTTCAAAGAAAATATCAACATATTCTCTATTGTAATAGAGTTTTCTTTTTCTTTTTTCTTTTTAAATGGTGTTATGAGATTCTATATTGTGGTTGGACTTGGGAATTTGGAGGGAGTGAGCAAAAAAGAAAAAGATTTTACTGCAACAATTTAAAAATAAAGACAAATTATTAATAATTTATTAATTTGAATGAAAGTAACTTGTTTCATTTTAAATAAAATCTAAATTTTAAATTTTGTAAATGAAGAAACAAATACTAAGAAAATTTTTCTCATATGAGACCTTGTTTATTTCAATTTTGAATTAATTAAAATCTAATATAGTTTTTAAATATCAAAAAATTAATATAAAAAAAAACAAATTAAATAAAATAGTTATAATATTTTTAAGTTGAAAGAAAAGAAAGAAGAAAAAGAGAGTAAAATTTTTTTTAATTAATCAAATTATAATATTCAAAAATATTATAATTTAAATAATTAAAAAACTTTAGTCGCCTCTCCCTTCCCTTTCAATTTCCTTAATCCAAACATAATATTAAAGTTACGATGGCATTCAACATAACCTTAAAACGTTAGGGACGACAAAATATATTAACTCCAAAAGAAATATGTCTGCCACGACCACTGCATCTTCCCGGTTCTCAATACCAAATTTATTCCATCTCCGGCATTCCATTTGAAAAAAAAAAAAAACAAAAAATTTTTTTTTTCTAGGGTTTAATTTGAACAGTGCATGTAGTGCTACAATTGGAATTTGAGTGAAGAAGATGTTGAGGGTATCAAAGAGAGCTTCTTCTTCCCTACATCGTCTCTTTTACGTAGGCAACAGCAGAAGCACCTCAATTTTTGGGAAGAGTCCGATTCTTTATCCATGGAATCCCACTGCCAGAACTACCCCTATTTGGGCATTACCCTCCAATTCAGCATCCTCCTCGTCCTCCTCAAGATGGCACCACAACCCAGTATGCTAATTTTGAAATCTTTCATCTTTCTTATCTCTGACTGCCAAATCAATGATACTGATTTCGATTACTATTGAGACAGAGGTCGATGGTAAATGGGCGAGTACTATTTTCGACTTCACCGTCCACTAACGATGGTGAAAAATCCCACAACAAAGTTTCGTCTGTAAACAAGGTGTCTTCGGAGCCAGTTGCTGATATGAAAATCCTGCGTACCCTTGCCAGTTATTTGTGGATGAGGGATAACGTGGAGTTCCGATTAAGGGTCATCACGGCCTTGTGTTTTCTAGTGGGGGCTAAGGTTTTGAACGTGCAGGTTCCTTTTCTGTTCAAGCTTGCTGTTGATTGGTTAACTAATGCCACTGGCAATGCCGGGAATATTGCTTCATTTGCAGCTGCCAATTCCACTCTGGTCACTGTTTTCGCTACCCCTGCTGCTGTTTTGATCGGCTATGGCATTGCACGCACCGGAGCAGCTGCTTTTAATGGTATCTTGTTCTTCTTTTTGGGACTTCACAAGATCATTCTTTTAGTCTACGTCCACCCTTTTTTTCTCCCTTAAAGTCACTTCTTTGTCCCTTTCTTTTCGAGGCTATTCATATCATATTGTTCTTGAAATCTCACATTTGCTTGCTGTGGCAGAACTGCGGACTGCTGTATTTTCCAAGGTTGCTCTTAGAACAATCCGCTCTGTATCAAGGAAGGTGCGTCACTTATTGGATTTATGACTTAAACTAGCATGCATCCTTGCAATTTCCTATCATATGGTTCCATGTTTATTGCCTGTCTATCTGTTCTTAACTTGCTAAGTAAATCTGTTTCCTTTTGTTTACTTATGTAGGTGTTTTCGCATCTGCATGACCTTGATCTTCGTTACCATCTCAGGTATTGCTTTGTTGCTCGTACAACACACATAAAATTGTGCATCTGCATTATCTTGAAATTTCTTTATTTTATTTAATTTTCATCTTTTCTCTCTCTCTCTCTCTCTCTCTCTTGTATATCTGATTCTCTTGTTCATTACTCTATACTTCTTTATATTGAAGTTTAAACTGAACAGTTCAGTTGCATTCTAGTACTCGTTATTTACTTGGTCACTGTATTTTCAGTCGAGAGACAGGTGCCTTAAATAGAATAATTGATCGTGGTAGCCGTGCTATAAACTTTATCCTCTCATCTATGGTGTTCAATGTTGTTCCCACCATTTTAGAGGTATAGATAATGTTTACATATGTTCTGAAGTATGTGCTTAATCTTGCTGCCTGTCTTTATAGATACTGCAATATTTCTGCCTTCATGATGGTATTCATTTTCTTTGTCATGGCCTGTTAAGATTACATGTTAATATTGGATTTTGCTACCTTTATTTATTTATTTATTTTTTTCTGAACAATTTCAATGGAGCTAATATTATTCTTTCAGATATCAATGGTATCAGCTATATTGGCATACAAATTTGGAGCACCTTTTGCATTAATCACTTCACTGTCAGTTGCTGCATATGTTGCTTTCACTTTAACTGTGACACAGGTACTGATTTCTTTAGCACCTTTCTTAAAATCATCCATGTAGTTTTTAAAGAATGTGGTGCATTACTTGTACTTTGAGGGTTGAAAGTTCCTATTTTTTTCTTTCCAAACTGATGATTTGGTGGTTTAAACTTTTGTTCTCCATCACTTTTGTCTAAACCTTTTCCTATCTTTTCCAGTGGAGAACCAAGTTTAGGAAGGCAATGAATAAAGCTGATAATGATGCAAATACAAGGGCCATTGATTCACTTATTAATTATGAGGTGAGGATGTGACTATATTTATGGCATGCCTTCCTTTTTCTTGTGAACTTTTACTTATATTTTCTTCTCGTAGCTGGTAAGTTTTTTCTTTCCCTCTATATTGTGTCTGTTTAATGTGAATTTTTTCCTGGTCTATTTCAGACTGTTAAATATTTCAACAACGAAGCCTTTGAAGCTGAGAAATATGATGAGTTCTTAAAGAGTAAGTTCTTTTTTCTTTTAAGTATAATGAGGTGGATAAATTGAGTCTTCAAAGTCACCCTTATTGGTCAACTAAGTCATTTGATTTGACTAAGTCACCCTTATCTAGTTGAGGTGGATAAATAAGCACCTTCATTTTTTCTTTAAAGTATAATGTCTACCATCTAGTTAAAAATGATGGTATTGAACCAAAATTGGCCAAAAATAATAATAATAATAAATAAAAAAATAAAACCTTAAAAGCTACTATTAACATTCCGTCATTCTCATCTATCTTTTGTTTTTACAGGATATGAAGGTGCTGCCTTGAAAACACAGCGAAGTCTTGCTTTTCTGAACTTTGGGCAAAATGTGATATTCAGCACAGCTCTGTCTACAGCTATGGTGTTGTGTTCTCATGGAATTATGAATGGCCAGATGACAGTTGGTGATCTGGTATGTTATTGATGCTTTAACCTTCTCTACAAAAGTTTATTTAGTAATAACATGATGTTAAAGCTAGTAAAATATATATGTGAAAATACAGGTTATGGTGAATGGGCTGCTTTTCCAGCTCTCTCTCCCTCTCAATTTCCTTGGCAGTGTGTATCGTGAGACCATACAAAGTCTTGTTGACATGAAATCCATGTTTCAGTTACTTGAGGTATTTCTCGAGAAGTTCCCTATAGATAAATAAATATTGTGCATTACATGAGTTCGACTCATCCTTCACCTTCTTCTGCTCTTTTATTGCATCTCTCCTAGACCATGTTTTGTTTAAAGAATAGAAGCAACATAAAGACTTTTAAAACCCATCTAATTATATTAAAAAATAATTAAGGAACTCATCAAGTGAATAAATTGCTGGCATCATTTTTCAAGATTGACAAACTTGAGAAATCTCCTCTAAACTGTTCTCCATGATATAGGTTAAGTGCTGAGTTTAGATTTTTTTTTATTTTTTTTTTATTTTTTTAACTCTTCTTATACTCTTGGTTCTGGTTACCTTGTTTATATCCATTCATGATTTTGCTCTAAATGATGTTGCAGGAGAAGGCTGAGATTAGTGATAAAAGTAATGCAAAGCCTCTAACATTAAATGGGGGCAGTATTCAGTTTGATAATGTTCATTTCAGGTGATCAACAGCAGTTTTCTTTGACCTCATTGTTATGTAAAGATCAATTATTTTTTGTTCTCTTTCCTATCCCTTTGAAACCATTCATCTCGGATAATTTTTAGGTTAAACCCCTAATTTGATCCCTCAACTATTGTACGGACCCCGGAGTTGGTCCCTAAACGAAAAAATCCCTGATTTGGTCCCTAAAGTTTTAAAATTTGGCCCCAAGTTGGTCCTTTCATTAAAAAGTAGCTGATGTGTCCGTTAATTAATGGCAGAAAACCGTTACTTAATGGCCACTAACGAGACACGTTAGTGATTTTTGTACGGAAGGACCAATTTGGGGCCAAATTTAGAAACTTTAGGGACTAAATCAGGGATTTTTTTTGTTTAGGAACTAACTTTGGGGGTCTGTACTATATTTGAGGGACTAAATTGGGGGTTTAACCTAATTTTTACACCTAGGACTTTTGGTCAAGTTTGTCTTATACATGAATCCTTTAAATTGAGAGAACAGGGAGAACACTTCACCTACTTGAAATTCGTCCTAGACATTTAAATTATTGCATTACTCTTGATTGGCTAGTGAACTAGTTTGTGTTTCTATTGATGATGGACTGCTAATACGCATTACTTTTTATACTTTTAACAGTTACTTGGCAGAAAGAAAAATTCTTGATGGGCTATCCTTTGTTGTACCAGCTGGGAAAAGTGTGGCAATTGTTGGAACAAGTGGCAGTGGTAATGCTTTGGTGTTTTAACTCAGTCTTGCAATTGGTACTTATATTAAATACTCTTGAAGTCTGTTAGACTACTACATACTTACATTTGTTACTAGTTTCCTTACAGAAACTTTGATGTGTCTAAATTGCTTTTGCTTCAGGTAAGTCAACCATACTCAGATTGCTCTTCAGGTTCTTTGACACTCATTCTGGAAGTGTAAGACCAAACACTTTCTTCTGGTAGATTATGATTCCAATACTAATAATCAATTATTAGAGATATCATTGATAATCGACCTTGGAGAACCTATGTTTTGTCTGAGACCATTATTCATATGCCTTTTCATACTTCCAGTTTGAACTTGCTTCTCTGCCACTGACTATTAATGCTTTCCCCAGATAAAGATTGATGGTCAAGACATACGGGATGTCACGCTGGATAGTCTTCGCAAGTCCATTGGTGTTGTTCCTCAGGATACCGTACATTAAAAACTATGACACACTTTCCTTTCTCTTTTTCTGTGAACAGATAATGAGCATAAAATTGCACTGAATTGACAGGTACTCTTTAATGATACCATATTTCACAACATACAATATGGCTGTCTTTCAGCAACTGAAGAGGAGGTATGTGTTAATTCTGATATCAAAGCATGCACCATTGATTTTAATTATTATTACATTTTTCAGCCTAACATTTGTTGCATATATAGGTCTATGAAGCTGCTCAACGTGCAGCAATTCATGACACTATCATGAACTTCCCTGAGAAATATTTGACTGTGGTTGGGGAACGGGGGCTCAAGGTGAGAAACCCACCTGCTTTAGAACTAGTTATTAAGTTATGGGGGTGGGATGCATCATTTCAAGCATTGAATTGGGCTGGGGTTCAGAGGTGTTTTTTTTTCCTCTTCTGGCCTAGAGATAAGCACTAAATAATGATTGTAATTTTTTTTTTTTTGAACAGCAATAATGATTGTAATTTTATCACTGAAAACTCTTATGTAAAAGGAATAGATTATCTCTATTACTCTGGAACTGTTAATGATTTTGGCAACCTTTTTGTTCAGTTAAGCGGTGGCGAGAAACAGCGTGTAGCACTAGCAAGAGCATTTTTGAAAGCACCTCCCATTTTGTGAGCACTCTTCTCTTCTTGATTGAACTGAAGCACTACAATCAACAAACTCATTCTCCATTCCTCTTCTATTATAATGTATTAAACATGATGACTCCCCACTTTTAGTTGGCTAATGAAAATTAGTATACATAGTTTTTGCTCCATATAAAGAAATAAAAAAAATAAAAAACAAAACAAAAGAACAGAAAAAAGGAAATACTCTTTCAACTGGTCTGTTTGTCACATTCAATAGAGGTTCACGTTTTTTTTTTTTCCTCTTCAGGCTTTGTGACGAAGCTACCAGTGCGCTTGACAGTACAACAGAAGCAGAGATATTAAGTGCATTGAAGTCACTGGCGAATAATAAAACCTCAGTCTTCATTGCTCACAGGCTTACAACTGCAATGCAGTGTGATGAGGTGAGCATTGGGTTATGAGCAACTACATGTCTCTCTTATGGTACTGAATTTAAAAAGTATCAACACCAACTCTATGACACACACACAAGTTCAAGTTGACGTGTGCCACAAATCTCAGTGATTTTCTCGAAGCCACTTGCTCATTGCATTCTAGGCTGGAACATCAATGTTAATTGGATTTCTGTTTCATCATCAAATAAAACTCATCATTCTCAGCAGTTGAAGAAATGAACTAATGAAGTTTGTCTACCAATCTTCTTACCCAGTAGCTAATTGATTTGGTGCTCATTCTGTTGATTTCTGAAATGGGTTTCAGATTATAGTTCTGGAGAACGGGAAGGTGGTGGAACATGGACCGCATGAAGTTTTATTGGCAAATGCAGGGAGATATGCACAATTATGGACACAGCAAAACAGTACTGCAGATGCCATTGATTCAGCCATCAAAGTTGAGGCGTGAAACTGAAAACCAGGGTGACAGAATTACACAACCGAATTTTTTTTTGGAGATTATTAGAGTTAGATGCAACATCCCAATTTTTATTATTTTTTTTTTAATCTCTGTGCTGAATTGATTGGACATAAAAATAAACTGCCCACACAGAGATAAACTTGTAATCTAATCTCATTCTTTGGGCTCTCACTTTTCAATTATGTATGACATGGGCTGGGCTGTGCTGAGCTGAGATTTTGTATGTAATAATGTAATTTATTTAGACATTATAACATAGAGAAATGGCAAATCAATGTTGTGTTATGTGGCTGGTTGATTTTTTTTTTTT